GCCATCAAATTGGTACTAACTGATCAACACTAGGTTGACCACATGGCAGAAATACTCTCTAGGGATTAGGGGGATGGGGGGGCAAATCTACAGCTAAAGGACACAGGGAGCACTAAAAGAAGGGAAGGGCATGCCTTTAACCTGCATTTGGGTGAGGCAAAGACATGAAGTGTAACTATAATGTTTGTACCCTCACAATACCCTGGAATAATAATAAAAAAATAAATACAGAAGAATCCAGAAAAGATGTGAACAATCAAATTCACTCTGTCTATTCCCCATTTCCCCACCCCCAATCAAGTCCCATTCCCTCCTATTAACTCCCTATTCTTTTCTAAAAATTTTTTATTGATATATAATTGTACATATTGTATATAGTTGTGCATATCTGGGGGGTATATGTGTTATTTTTATACCCATGTATATGGTGTGTAATGATCAAATCAGGGTAATTAGGATCACCTCAAACATTTTTCTTTCGGGAATTTTTCTTATGGCTATTTGGAAATATGCAATAAATTATTTTTAACTATAATTTCCCTACTGTACTATTGAATACTAGAACTTATTCCTTTTATCTATCTGTATTTTTATACCCTTTAACAGACTTCTCCTCATTCCTCCTTCCCCCCTTGTCCTTCCCAGTCTCTGGTAACCACCATTCCACTCTTACGAGATCCACTTTTTTAGCTCCCACATGTGAGTGGAAACATGTGATATTTATTTTTCTGTGCTTGGCTTATTTCACTTAACATAATGATCTCAAAGTCCATCCATGTTGCTGCAAATGACAGGATTTTATTCTTTTTTTAATAGCTGAATAGGATTATATTAAGCTAAAAAATTTCTATACAGTAAACAATCAATAAAGCAAAGAGACAATCTACAGAATGGGAGGAAAATATTAACAAACTATCCACCCAGCAGGGGATTAATAACCAGAATATATAAGGAATTCAAACAACTCTATAGCAAAAAATCAAATAGTCCGATTAAAAAATAGGCAAAATACTTGAATAGACATTTCTCCAAAGAAGACATACAAATGGCCAACAGGAAGGGCATCGTGGATCTTTGCCTACTGCTAAAATGAGATGTTACAGCCCAATCCAAGGATGAGCTTGAGTTGGCATGACCTGAAATGCATGTCAGAGCCTTTGTATGTCTAGGACAGGTACGTGGAAACGTGAGAATTTTTATTTTTTATTTTTTTTTTGGTCTTTCTTTTTATTTTTCTTTCTTTTTTTAATTTGATTTTTCTCATGCTACCTTGCCTAAGATTTCCATAAATTTTCCATAATTACTTTTTATTATGGAAAATTTCAAACATATACAGAAGTAGAAAGACTAATATTACTGCAATGAACCCTCATGCATGCATTACCCAACTCACAGCCAGGTCCTCAGCACTCCCACCCTTTTCCATCCCCCATGCCCTGCCATCGTTTATTCTGAAGCAAATCTCAGACATCATTTCATTTCATCCACAAGTACTGAATATTGTTACATGTATCTCTAAAAGAGCTGGACTCTTCAGATACATGATCACCATTCCATTGTGACAACTAAAAATTAACAATAATTCTTTAATCTTTTTGTTGACTAAACCTAACTACTCTGAGGCTGCTGATAGTAGTCTTTAAAGAGTGTATGTATACAACTACAGCTTATAGGAATCCTCTTACCAAAGGAGAGGGTCAACACAGAACAATGTATTTGCAAATCTGTGTGCTGTCTGTACCTTTTTATAAGGAGGAAGCAAACAAAAAACAGGTAAAGAAATAAGGGAAGTAGACAATTGCAGGTAATACTAACTGCCAGGAGGAAGGGAAGCAGGGTGGTGTGACAGTGCTGGGGGGATGGAGGTTACTCCTCTGGAGGTAACGTCCTCTCTTAGGAAGGAGGCAACCACTGGCAGAGCTGGGAAGTAGATCATCTCAGAGAGAGGAGGCAGCAAGAGCAAAGACCCCACTGCAGGGACGCCAGTGGGCTGAGAAGAAGGGGCTGCTGGCAGGAGAGGAGGGCAGATCATGCAGCCCTGTGAAGGTGGCTGGAGTGTTTATGCTAAGCGTGAAGGGAAACCAATGAAGGATTCTGAGCAGGGTAGTTAGCTGATTTATACTTTTAAAAAATAGTGCTGACTGCTGTGTGGAAAATGAGTTGGAGACAGGCAAGGCTGGAGCAGGGAGGCTAATCAAAGACTCTTGCAGTTGTCCAGTACCCTGTAGGACAGAAGCAGAAAAATGGAAAGAAGTGGCTGAAAATGGGAGTTCTTAGAAGGAAATGAAAGAGAACCAGCAGGTTGGCGATGGGGGCGGTAAATTCATTTTTACAGCAGTAAGGATGAGGTGCTGGTGAACCGGCTTGAGGTGTGGTGTGAGGACATTGACAGCGTCTACAAAAACAGCTGAGTTGGGCCTGCACTACGGGCCGCCTTCTGCGGAGCCCACACCCCCAGTGTGCTGCGGTGACGCTTATCCACACCCACCCGCTTTGCAGAGGGAGAGCCCTGCCTTCAGAGAAAGATCTGCTACAGCTGCTGTCTTGGGGAAATACATCCTCTTTATGAGTGCTGAATTTGGGGAAAACTGATCCTCTCTATGAGTCTTCCAGACTTTGAATAAAATGGGCAGGACTCGAAGTGGGAAAAACTGGAGGCAGGTTTGGTTCCGGCCTCTTCCTCCCCAAGTCCCACCGCCCTCAGAGTCTCCCTGACGCCGAGGAGCTGTGAGTGGGGACGGAGGGATGGAAGGTGACTCAGAGAGCTTTCACTCAACAGAAAACTACTCTCATTCATTTCAAGAGCCTTTTAAAGCACTTACTGCATGTTCTGCGCTGTGTCAGGCACTAATGGGGCTCAAAAAGGAAGAAAAGGTACAGTGTAGTCCAACCTCAAACTGTTTGGGTTGAATGAGGGAGCAAATATACATTTATTAGAAGCCAGTAGGAGCCAAAGAGGGTAAAAGATAGAGGTGAAGTGGACGATAGAGGGAGGTAGGTGTAAATAAGAAATGAGGTTTCTCCAACCCTGACATCATCTCTTCATCTTAGCCTCAGAATTCTCTGTCTTTCCCCGGAAAGCATCAGTTTTCTTGGGAAAGGAACTATATAGTTTTAACTACAATATTTTCTACAGCAAAAAATCTGGACAGATGGTGTGATAATAAAGTTTTTTTCTCCCTAATTTGTAAAATTATTTATTTGAAAAGACTTACAAAGGCATAGGAATTGGATAACATTTGATTACCCAATTAACAAATTGCCTCTATTGAAAAAGGTACAAGTAGGTATACTAGAAAAATCTGGAATAGATGTTCTAGAATAACAATTGCTGCTCTGTTAATGCTTTTCCTGGCCCCATCACCCGCTTGCCTGACTGCCAAAATCTGACCTCCTCTCTTTGAGAAAGAGGGCCCAAACTCAGTGGTTTAATAGGTTATAAATTAACCTCTGGACTATAGAACTGTAGGCTGTTCATTTTTAATACAGACTTGGCATATAACAACCCTTTAATTGGGAGTCCTCTTCCATGGTTTCTTGATAGAGTGCCACTAAGATATTTTAAAAATACTTTCTGGCCGGGTGCGGTGGCTCACACCTGTAATCTTAGCACTCTGGCAGGCCGAGTCGGGCTGATCGTTTGAGCTCAGGAGTTTGAGACCAGCCTGAGCAAGAGCGAGACCCCGTCTCTACTAAAATTAGAAAGAAATTAGCTGGACAACTCAAAATACATAGAAAAAAAAATTAGCCAGGCATGGTGGCACATGCCTGTAGTCCCAGCTACTCGGAGGCTGAGGCAGGAGGATTGCTTGAGCCCAGGAGTTTGAGGTTGCTGTGAGCTAGGCTGACGCCACGACACTCTAGCCCAGGTGACAGAGTGAGACTCTGTCTCAAAAAAAAAAAAAAAAAATGTCTTTACCTGCTTTCACAGTCATTGATGTTTCAGAAGATTTGGGACTAACCAGCCCAAAAGGGCACTCTGAGGTCTGTCCAGGGACTGAGAAAGGGCTGCTTCTCCCAGGCCTACAGGGAGGAGTGGGGCTGAGGGGACAAGTGCAATAGAGCAGACATTAGACAGGGAGGCTTCCTGGAGTTTATTCCATTCATTCCAGTCCACCAGTAACTGCAAGGTACCTGCCACGCACCCAGCACCAGCACCATGAGAAGCTACAAAGAAGCACTCAGGAAAAGGGGCTCACACATGCAGATGCAGACAAGGACCTGGCAGGCAAGATCAGTGAATGAGGGGGTGGGAACAAGGAGCACCCTAGGTCTTTTATTTACCTATGTTTGAAATATTTACCTTTCCTGTTTATTATATAAGAAAACAATATAAGCCTGGTGATCGACAGGGAAATGAAAATATCTCTGGCAAGTAATGGGTACCTAATACATGCTCAACCTCTCCCTCTTTTTCCCATTGTAAGACAATATTTTTGTGGTAGAAAAAACAAATCGTAGCCAGTGTCTGGGGAGGAAGCCTGGTTTGCTAATGGTGTCTCCACAGGGGCCCTAGAGATAGATTAAACCCCACCCTTGAGAGAGGGGGTTGGTCAGACAACCCACCCAGCTAAGGCTCCGGCACTACAAGGCAGCACCCTCTGTGCCCAGAGGTAAAGTCCACGCGGTACCGTTTTTGCCAGGCCCTTGCTTGCTTGCTAAATAGCCTGTCCTTTGAGTCACCTTCCTGTGGCTGGGTCCCCTCACCCCTAGGTCTTAAAACAAGCATTAAGATTCCAAAATACATATTCTTCTATAGAAGTCAAAACCATCCCAATCTTGATGTAGACCTTTCACTTGAATTTTTCTGTTTATGATTTTCAGCTTATAATTTATCATTATAAGAAAAGTATGCTGTTCTGGTAAACTGTAAACTATTTTTTCAAAACTTCCAATAAGCCAAAAACTAAAAAACAAATTTTGAATTATATATAATATATATGTAAATAAATTTGTATGTTTAAATATATGTATTTGCTAAATCATCCATTCCAGGCAGCATATGACAATAGAGAAACACTGACCCAGGCTTACTCAGGGTCCAGTGCATTCCGAGGGAAGGATCAGGCCCTTCTGCTTGCACATTGAGCCGTTAGATTAGATTCAAATCTGAAATAACCAGGACAGCGACTCTCGCTCTGTTTCCCCTAAAGGGAAAGAAAAAGTCAGAAAAGACAAAGATCATAAAACCAGCAGTAGAGAGAATTTGTCTGCTCTGCTCCTGCCCAGCCTGGCTTGGCCCGAGGACACCCGACTGGTCTCTGCCATGGGCATGTGCTAGGAAATGTGAGGAAGACCACCCAGAAAGGGGGCCAGATTGTAGTTTTGTTTTGTTTTCACTCTTATTGCAGAGTATCGGTCTGTCCACACAATCCTTCACTTCAGGAAGACTAGGGCAGCCTCACAGTGCTAGGCAGTGGTCTGTGTTTTCAGTGATCTATAAAAACCATCTTTTTCAGAGCTGACAGAAGGAACACCTGGAGTCTTGTTCCATTTTCTCTCAGGGTTCAACCTGCTAAACATCACTGAGCTTCCCTATCCTTATCCTCAGGTGAGAAGGGTCTATAGATTTTAATGTCCCCCACTGCAAGAACAAAACAGTACCAGGTTCTGGAATCATACAGCCTAGGTTCCAATCCTAGCTCTCAGACAACTAGCTGGGCAACCTTGGGCAGGTTTCTTAACCTCTCTAAATCTCAGTTTTTTCACAGTACACAGTAATAGTTTCCAAGTCTTAGAGATCTGAGGATTAAACAAAAGAATCCATATGTTCCCTATGTCTAATGCAGAGTAAACACTCAGTATTAGCTGCGGCTGCTATAGTTATTGCTTATAGTATTATCAAAAGGTCGAGTGGTTGTTTCAGCCATGTTGCAAGATGATTACCGAAAGAAAATTTTGCTTATATTCTTTGTATATTTCATACTAAGGGAGTAAAAGCCCTCACACACTTTAATAAAAAAAAAAATGGATTCCATTAAATAGCTGGCCACTTATCAGCCACCAACATTGGCAAATTACTTTTCTCTGAGAGTCTGTTTCCTTCTTTTCCAGCTGGAGCAATCATTCCTGCCTCCCAGACTGCCTGCTTCCCCACCTCACCTGTTGAGAGGTGACAGGAAATGGCCTGGTTGAAAGTGGTTTGAGAAAGGTTTCAAGTACTACGTGGAGTGAAAGGTATTATTGTCAGGATGTGGGAAGCTGAGCTTCTATGGGAAGATATTGATTTGACTTTGAACTTGGGGGTAGGTGTAAGAAAAACCAGTCCTGTTCATTTTTGTAATCCTAGGACACGCTGTAGGCATTCGAAATGTTGATTTATTTTGTTAAGAAACCATCTAGGAATCTTGAACTTATTTCCTTTGTCTCTTTCCCTCCCGTTCTCCAGGGTTTGATTTTCCTCCCATGAAATTTCATTTCGCTGTTGGCAGCAACTATTGGTTTTGCCTATTGTGAAAATAATCCTTTTAGTTTACACTAGGTTGCAGGAGTGTCTGTGATGCTAGAGTTTACATTCTCAGTGTTGTGCATTCTATAGGTTTGGACAAATGCTTGGTGTACATTCTGCAGGTCTGCAAAAATGAGTAATGACATGTATTCACTATTATAATATCATACAGCATAGTTTCACTGCCCTAAAATCCTCTGTGCTCCACCTATTTATCCCTTCCTCCCCTCAAACTCTTGGCAACCACTGATCTTTTCATCGTCTCCATAGTTTTGTCTTTTCCAGAATGTCATAGTTGGAATCAAACAGTATGTGCCCCTTTCAAATTGACTTCTTTCACTTAGTAATATGCATTTAGTATTCTCCCATGTCTTTTCACGGTTTGATAGCTCATTTCTTTTTAGTGCTGAATAATATTCCATTTTCTCATGTGCCACAGTTTATTTTTTCCATTCACCCACTGAAGGACATCTTGGTTTTCTTCCATGTTTGGCAGTCACGAATAAAGCTGCTATAAAAATCTGTATGTAGGTTTTTGTATGGACATAGTTTTCAACTCATTTGGGTAAATACTAAGAAGCATGATTGCTGGGTTATATGGTAAAAGTATGTGCACTTTTGCAAGAAACCACCAAATTGTCTTCCAAAGTGGCTATGCCATTCCCCTGGCCTTTTAAGACACATCCTGCCAGCTGTGCCAGGGTATAGCATTGACTTCTTAGGCAGAGGAGTGCTCCCAATTCATGGTGCTCAGCGGTCTTTATATACACCATTGTGGATATAGGCCAGGTGGACAATCACATCCCAGTGTAGTGCAGGGCAAATTCCTATATTTCATGCTCAGTTAACCAAATGTGTGTTATATAGAGTGTGTCTGGACTATATTCAGCTTGCCTATTGCTACGAGGGCCACTGAGAGCCAGAGAAGTACCCCTATGTGTTTGCACATGTAAGACAGGGAAAGCATGGCTGTCCCTTCTTCCTGAAAAAGCCCCTTGTCCCTCACACTGTCTAGCTATATCTCTTCTCTTTCCTGTTGTTCTCCTGCAGACCCTCTGGTCATTCCTTTCCATTCATTAGGGATTTGGTTCCTAGTTCAGTTTCCTTTTGCCCCGCCCCCTGACCTCATCTCCAACAACCTCCTCCTCACCTTCCTCCAGCGACATACTCCCATGATCACCCTCAGAACCCTCATAGCAACAGAGTCTGCACCCCTCAGAAATCTGTTTCAAACAACTCACTCTTTCAGTACCACTATTTATGTTTTTAATTCACTCACCACAATTCTTTGAATCAAGGGACCTTCAATCCCTTGATTTTCCCTCTTTCTCACAGCCCACCAGCCCCTGTTTTCTCATCACTCCTCATCAACTTCAATCCCACGGTCCATCTTCTTGTTGGCCCTTGCACTTTCTTGTTATTTGCTCCCACCTGGCAAACCTCAATCCCGACTGCAGTTCACTCTGCCTTCTCCATGCCTGACCTGAGCAGCTCCAAGTTGCTCATTAACAACCACTGGCCAGGCTCACTGGGCTCATTTAAAGGGTGATCTTAAGCTACCGAGGGACATTTGCCCGCCTGACACACTTGCTTTGCTTTCCTAGTTCACATTCCCACTTTCTGAAATGACATTTCCTACCTTTCCCTGTCCTCAAACCTTCCACACTCTCTTCCCTTGAATCTCGGCTAATGAGGTACCCTCAAACTCCCTGAGCATGTAAAAGTCAGAGAGGAACTCCCTCATCTCCTCGCATCAGTCTAGAAGCACTTCTGAATTTGCACCTGGCTTCTGCTTCCTTTCTACTGTAGCGGAGAAAGCCTCTCTCTCCTAAAAATAATATTCCTTCCTTGGGTTCCAGAAGAGCTCACCTCTCAAGGAATTTGTTCTTTTCACAATCCACTCCTGCATCATCGGTCCCTTTCTCTCCATTGCATCATTCCTTCTTTTTATTTTTCTTTAGGTAAAAGGGAGAATAATTTACATAAAAATAACATACATAAAAATAACATCCCAGAAATTATATAGTGCTTGTTTCTCAATCCCGACTTTCATAGACAACCACTTTTCTGATTTACAGCACCATAATCTTTCCTGATTTTGAACTTCATATAATCGGAATCATAATATTTACTCTTTGGTATCTGGCTTTTTTTTGTTCAATATATTTTTGAGATTAATCCATGCTGCTGTGTATCTCAGTAGTTTTTATTGCTAAGTAGTATTCCATTGCATGGACATATAGCACACTTTGTTTATCCAGTCTTCTGTGGCTGGCGATTTGGGTTGTTTCCAGATTTGGGATGCTATAAATAAGGCTGCTCTGGACATTCTTGCACAAATCTTTTTGTAGAGATAAACTTGCATTTTAATTTGGAATTTCTGGTCATAGGATAGTATACGTTTAAATTTATAAGGAACCAACAAACAGTTCTTCAAAGTGGCTGTACCTTTTTGCATTCTCATAAAAACACTATAGGAGAGTTCCAGTTGCTTCACATCCTTCACAAATTTATGATTATCAGTCATGTTGATTTTAATGACTCTAGTGGTTATGAAAAGAGCTTAGGACAGTACTTGGCATAAAATTAGCCCCCTAAAGAGGTTAGCTCCTATTATAATCAGAATAAGCATTCCAACACTTTAAATAAAGGGCACCGGAGTTCCTTCTTTCCTGTAATTATGCCTCACTCTTGTTCTTGTCCTAACCCTTCCAAAAACTACATTATAATAAACTCTGGTATTGGCCATACATCTATTTAAGTATTACATTCAAATAGATCTTCGTAAATCTATTAAAATATTGGCTTTATAAAGGGGACCCAGCGGAGACATCACCAATACCTCCCACAATACAAGTACACACTAAACAGCTGCAAGTTGGCCTTTTTCCGCAGCTACCTAGGGTTTAACACCCTACCCTACTTTGTCCTGGGATCTGTCCTCACATCCAAGGAATTACATTTTCTTTGGAGCTGCTCAGCCCAATGGGGACCGCAAACCTTGCCTTTCTGACAACGGATGAGCAGGTCCCAATCATCAGCCCCTTCTCCAGTCCTCAAACCTGGTGTCCCTACCTAGGCACAGCTTCGTCGGGGAAGCTGCAGAGGAAATAGGGGTCTCGGCGTGGCTGTGGCTTCGCGACAGAGGCCAGACACACTCCTCAGCCTGAGGTAGGTCAGACGCCTGTTGGGCTCCAGGTGGCAGCGCCAGCGGCGCCGTCCCAGCTGTTCCTGAGCGCACCACGGAGAGACGCACTCCTTTGTGCAGGGACAGCACCTCAAGCCTTTCTCTCCTTCGTATATTTTTTCCACTCCCTGCCCACGCTTAATTATTATCCCCTCGAGGCCCCTCCCTACTGGCCTCCTCCCTCGCCCACGCAGGCTGGGCAGGGGGCGGGCAGCGGGATCGCGGGGCTCAGCACTGCGCGCCCTGCGGCTGTCAGGGTGGCAGGGTGGCCAGTGTGCAGCGAGCGTCCGCGATGCCGGAACGGCTCCTTCGCCAACTGCTGCGAGGCCGGCGGGCGGGCAGTGCGCCCGGGCTGGTTGGGGGCGGGCGGCGCGCGGGCCTCCGGGACCCCCCGACCTCCCTGGGTGGCTCCCGCGCTATCCACCGTGCTCGTCGTCACTACCGCCGTGGACATCGTGGGCAACCGCCTGGTCATCCTCTCCGTGTTCAGGAACCGCAAGCTCCGGGACGCAGGTGATTGCCACGCCAGGCCTTTGCCTGCCCTCTGCTCTTGGACCTGACCCCGCAGTCCGCGGCCTTTCTCCTCCTCAGTGCCAGATACCCCTTTCCCTTCACTCTAACCTCGTCCCTAAGTTTGGTTCTGCACTCGAAAGTTAGCGTGAGTTCTGCATCCGCGACGTGCGGCTGCCTGGGACGCACTTGGCACAGCGGGAATTGCGCGACGATTTTCTTGCGCACTTTTTGGCAGGGCGCCGGCGCTGTGGGAACCCACGCGGCTGGACACCTTCGCTGCCTACCCATGGCGCTCCAATTTGTGCCGTTGCAGATGGTGCCCACATTTGGCTACAGAAATCTCACGACCTTTGACACCTTCCTCCCTCCCCTGCCAAGCACTGTGGCTTCCGTAGTAGGTAGTTAGAAAATACTTGCCAAAAGAATGAGTGAATTAATGGAAGCATTGCGGTGGGCTTTGTTTTTGTCAAAAACTTAGCTCCAGGTCACCTAAAGACCCCATTCCACCTGAGAGAGTGTAAAGGCAGAAATCGCAGGCTCTGCTGGGACTGAACTAGCTTGCTTTGAGTTATCCTAGACTTTGGGGAATATAGGGGATTCGTGAGACCAACTTTGAAACTTGAAACAAAGATTTGGGTAAATAGTATAGCAATTCAGAAAATATTTTCCCCCTTGCAATCTACTTTCTTTTCAATATTCCTATAATCAGATCTTCAAGGGAAAAAAACCGGAGGGAGGGAGTATCTGAACTCCAGCCCTGACGGGTCATTGGGATGTGCTGACCATTTCAGCTTGGGAAAGAGCTCAGTGACCTGTTTGTTAATTTTTGGGGGTTTCTGAATATGGGCCTGGAGGCACTCAAATATTAGAGTGAGTTAAAATGGAAAAATAGCAGCAGAAAACCAATTGTATAGATTAAAAATGCTTTTCCAAGAAGCCAGACCATTCAGAAAGGCTATTTTTACTGAATGATTATGTATATTTTGTGTGGCCCTATGACTCAAGGATTTTTGCCTAAAAAGCAAACAAAAAATCAAACTGAGGTTCTAGCCATCATATGGGACACATAACATGATTAAGAAGAAGTTTCTAACTCAGTCATTTAAGTAGCGGTGGCTAGTATTATCTGGAATACATTTTTTCAAGATATTAGTATGTTCTTTGAGGAAAAGTTTATATATTAGGCAAGAACAGTTTATGATTAGAAAACTGTATGTAATATTTTCGATCATCTTGTCCCTTTGAAGCAGCCATCAACATTCATTTCCTGCACAGGGAGGCAGACGGGAGATAGCTCTGGCTCTCTCCTCTGTGGGAGGGATGGGCCTTCCAGGTTCTGACATTGGCCCCTTCTCTCCCTGACTTACTGGGTGTGTAGAGAAGGTCTGGCAGACCGTGGCTCCCTGCTCAGTAACTTGGGTTGCCTACCATGAGAAAGGTGGTTGATGGAAGTGAGGGCTGCTTCCTTTGCCCAAGAGAGAAAAGCATCCTGTCCCCATCCTATGAGGGCTGGCTTTTTCTGCACCCCTGGCAGGGTCCACAGAAACCTTACTGGCTTGAGAGTGTGGTCAGGCAAGGGAATGAGCATGTTAAATTGCTGGTATATCCTCTGTTCTATCTTTCCTATCTCCTAATGTGTCTGCTACATCCCGGCACCAGAAAAGAAAATTATAACACTATCTAAATGAGATCAATTCCTGCCACATTGGCAGCTGCCACAGTTTTGCAATTTAACCAGTTTTTATATGACTGTTGGCTTTACTGGTGATAGTCATGAAAAATTGTAGTATTGACTGAAACTAAATGACCTTGGCAGAGTGAGATTTCTAAAGGTGCTTAAATACCTATAGCACTTTGAATAGTTAGTACACATTCTACTTTTAATCAGGCCTTCTCTTACCAAAGAGTTTGGACTTACTTTAAGAAACACTTATCTCAGACCTTCCTGTACTTAAATCTGGCTCCTCAATCCATCAGTGTTAAGAAATTAGGACTGTGACAATGAGCATACATATATATCCAATAACCGACATACATAGCGCACACTTAGGCCACAGCACTTTGCTCAGGAGACACCAGTATCCTTTACTTGACTATCACAAACCCAGTCCTCTGCGGGGCAGATCCTTGCTATTCCTCACAGCGATGATGTTCCTGACGGCAGGGTAAGTGGTTAGATTAATTGTCCTTTTTTTCAGGGCTACCCTGTCTGCACCTTCTGTGGCTGCATGTGGTGGGTTGACAGTTTCAGAGATGACACTAGAGAAAGGCAGACGGGGAAGCATGGAGGAGGCTGGGAGCTAGGTTCAGGGCAGTGACCCAACTTAGAAGGTAAGGCTGGTTGTTTTCCCCTCTGTGCTGTATTCTCAGAGCCTTGCACAGCACACGGCACTGGGTTGGCACTTCACACTTGTTGGAGTGTGCTTCCTGGGGACTTGCCACGCTATAGACGCTCCTGAGAGCGGTCGAGGACTTTCCCTTGTGCCCACCACTGCTGTCCTGACCCTGGATCTAGGCCCCACTAATATTTATCCCCTGTGTTTTTGAGCTTTTCCTCTACTTCTGGAACCTTCTTCCATCAGGTTTCTTCTCCTTCTTCTGTGTTTTCAACCTCTGTCTCTTTCCCCTCAGCCTGTACACACACACCCCCCCATACACAAAGTCTCCTGTTTTAAAAGAACAAAAAGAATCTTTCCTTGATTTGATCCCCCCCACCCCCAACTTCATCACTACCTCTCTCCTTCCCTTCTCAACCACTTTATTGTGCCATTTACATCCATTGACTCTGCCTCATTGCTTCCCACCCCTCCTTAGCCCGTGGAGTCTGGCCTCTTGGGCAGTGCCCCCTTGTGCTGCCCGTGATGCCGAGGGCCGCTCCCTCCTGGGAACCTTCCATTCCTCGGCTTTCCTGATGCTAGTGTTTGGACCTCCTTCTTCTCGTCAACTCCCGGATACCCAAGCCCTGGGAGTCACTTCTGGTTCCTCCTACCCCACCCCCCATTGCACAAGTCCCAGTGACTGCCTCACAGTATTTCTCATTCCCCCCTTCCTGCCCTCTCTACTCGCACTGCCCCCATATACGTCCTCGTCATCTCTTGAGCAGACTCTGTCGTGTCCAGAGAGCTTTCCCTGCTCCCTCACCGCCACCACTGCCAAGAGTCACCTCCACCTTCAGTGACTGTCCCCCATCTCCAGAACAGAGTCTGACTCCAGGGCGCAGCACCCACATCACTCATAGCCTCATCTTTCCTGGTGCTAAAGCGAGCGCGACCATTTCCCACACAGCCAGGCTCTGATGCGCTCTCAGCCTCTTCTGCCCAGGCGGTACCTGCTCCTCCTTCAACGCCCTTCCTCAGCTCCCCTGCAGGGTCGTCAGAGTTTATCACTAGTACCTGATGGTGTAGCATAGCCAGCGTCTCCCTCTTCAGCTTCCACAACGCCTCGAGCCCTCCCCTGCACAGCACCCCTCACTGTCCTGTAGTTACTTGTGTCTCCCTGCTGGCCTGTGAACCTGGTGAGAGCAGAGAGTTCTATTCCATGTCTGTCCACAGAGCCAGGCACACAGTAGGAACTGAATACACCTCTGCTGAAACAAATTGAAAGTGGACAAGACACTAGGAAAGCAGTGGGAGAAAAGAATCAATTTTGCTTCCTGAGCTGGGGTGGACATCGGTTCTAGGACACAGCACTGCTTGTGTAATCAGTACGGTTTTCATGAAACCCAGTGGCTTAGAGCACCAACAGCCCAAAGAACACCTCACTTTTGTGCTCAAAAACCAATGATTGGCACCCTCTGCAGAAGACCTGCCTGTTCTCTGATTGCTCCTGAGTGGCTAAAGTTGCTCAGCAGGTTCCAGCTGTGCCACGTTTGTGTTCCAGTGACTGACCCCTTTCTGGTCTGGCCTGAGGTTTCCACCTTTAAGCTGCCTGTAAAATGTGGCTTCCTGTATTATCTGCACCATCCAGGTACAGCCCCCCATCCAAGAGAGCTGAGAGAACCGTGTCATTACTGCCACATCTAGGTCTTCTCCATTAGCAGAGACGAGTGTCAGTTATTCCTGGCTCCATAGGCGCGGCTACCCTAATTTTCCAACTAACAGCAGCTGTGGTCTGACAATGGATTTTTGTGCTACAGCTGGGTTAAAGAGGTGTCAGTGAGTGCACACATTGCCATTTCTATGGTGTTTTGATTAGTTATGCAGAAAGACATGAAATATTTGACATTGGGATTGCCCAGGAAAACATGGAAGGTTTGCCTGCTAAATATACAGGTCTTTTTCCAGGGTCCACTCTGTCCATACCAGCAAAGCTGCCACTCCTCCAGGCCCCCAGCGGTGCTTCGAGGCTGTTCCATCTCTTATCCAGCACTAGTAGCTGCCTGGGAGGTTCCTGACGGGAATATTCTACCTGTGGGGGCAGTGGCCCTGGACAAAGTCTCTTGGAAGGTGTGGAGGGAAGTATTTAACAGACCCACAGTCCCTTCCCTCCAGGAGTTACAGGGTGACGTGGAGCCCACTCTATCCAGGCTTCATCCTCCCACTGACCACTTAGTATCGGGTATCTGTTGACCTGCTGTGTGTGCAGGGTTTGGAGTGCTTGTTATCAGCCTAACATCAAACTTGGCCACCCTCCACTCCTTCCCTAATCTTTCCTAAGTTTTCCAACTTCACACTTCAGCTGCACATACCTCACTATCTCTTCACTGAACAAAAATGAACACTTTTTAAATCCCATTATTATGTCTGTAGCTGAATAAGCAGGAAAGCTTATAATCCTATTTAATTCCTCCCATGTAAGTCTCAATAGCCCAGGGGTATAAAGACCATGTTTGGCTGTATTTCCAGAAAGCTGGATTCTGTATTTGGATATGATATTCTGCATCACTCGGAGGATACTGAATGCTGCTATTAGGTCTTACCATTTAGAATACTTATTGCTAGAGGAGTAAAGTTAGGGAGTTGGGAAGTAAAACCCAGTTTTTAGGGCATCTAGAAGCAATG